TATATATACTTGTTGTACTAAGTGCGTTATCTTTGAAACATTGAAACTGGAACATTATAAAAATTACCATAAAGCAATGTGAAAACTTTTTTGCGTCGTCACAGTGGCCTCGATGCGTAAGAGGCAAAGCTTTGTGACGTTAGGTTGAGTAACTTAATCAAGTGTTTATATGTAATAACTATACATAGTTCGTTTTGTATTTCCGCATAATAATCACTTTATTGGATTTATATAACAGTAATGCCAGCACTTCTGAGGAATAGGGGCGAACGTGAAAACGTCAACCCTGAAATCATAATCTCCACCTTCAGATTCCTTTTGTGGTTTCAAGGACAAGTACTTTATCCTTATCTAGAACAGCTAATTAAAAGACACTTATCTGCTTATAAGGACCAATTCAATCCATCGCTTTATATGTTTGTTCTTTAGGGGTTACATACTTGGCAGGTCAAATTTTGGCATTTTCCATTTTTTTTTTAGCATTTCCGTAATATTCATAAGAGACAACCTGAAAAGTCATTTCCACACGCATAGTGAACTATATCGCAACAGTTTTATCATTTGTACCTTCTCATCTATTGCTGCTTTTTTCAAATGAATACCTCCCTTTCTCGCTACATATATATATATATATATATAGTCATACGGGTTTCAATGTTCAGCGTATTTATGTGCATGTATTAAGTAAAATACAATTCATAACTAGTGCCAAATAAGTATTTCATCCTGCAGGACCACGATGGCAACCACGGGTAACTTTTGGTTAGCAGATATGTATTTGACAAATATTAAATGACGATTTTTAGTCGGAAGTAAAAAGCCACTCTGATGTAACGTTTGCGAGTAGATTTCAATGAATCATTTCCTGATCACACTAAATCCATACGCTGTGACAGAGAGGGATTGTGCGCTAGGGAAATACGCTTAAATAGAGCAGATTAAGATGAATATAGGAGGTTCTCATATTGTTTAGTAACAGGTCGTTTAAAGGTTGAAAAAGAGCACTGATAAACAACCTAAGAAACCTTAGATTTCACACGTAACGCGCATGCTAAATGAATACGTAGCGTCATTTCACGCGTACAGCGTACAGCCTGGCCGTTTAAAGTCAGGGGGTGAAACTTTCGGCGATTAGCCTAGGAATGAAAACCCTTTGAAATTTTGTGTCGACGTTTCACGTGGGCTTTTATTCTATAAGTGCATTCTCATAGCTTAAAAATTAGATCTAACATGACAGTATCTATTTAACCATCCTACAATAGCGCATATTTTTCAAATGTGACTTTTGTGCCCAAGAACTTCCCAACCTACGAGAAGCCTTCCAGGGTAACGCTGTGACCCTGTTCATACTCTGTAATACACTGTAAAAACCAATACCGTTCAGCATTTCTCTATTCGTTGTTGTATACTTCTGTATGCAAGTTATACTCGGTCCGCATTTAAGCATTATCAATGTCAGTTTTCCATCGAGGTACTCATTTTTGAAAATATAAGCACCGAGGACCTCTGTTCAAAGTAACGCTTTAACTACCTTTAATAATGGATATTTCCTATTTTCTTTGTCAACTTCTAATTCAGTATCTTTCGAAAATTCATAATATTGCTAAAATCATTTCACTAGATATATAGGGTCATGCGCTTGTCTGTATTTGGCAGTAGATAGTAGTGATACTTAGTCTGGTAGAGGTTTTTCCAGTATTGTAGTTGTTACCTTCATCATCGAGGTAGTTTAAGTAACTGTAGTACTTAAGCCGGGGGCTTACAATGTCACTCTTTCCTGATGAAGTCCACGATTCTGCAAAGATAATCCAACTTAACGATTATATAAGGAAACGTAAACAAAATGATCGAACACTTTTTTAGACACATAGAACATCACGTAACTGTGTTTCATAATGCACTCTCTGTTGGAGATATGAGACACGTAAATAAATACAATGGTTAAAAACTGCTAGAATAATATTTTGAAAACGCAATTTCACGATTTATTAAAACTAACCGAAACTTAATTTTCAGGAGCATACGTTTTTAAATTGCTTTTATTAAAAGGCACAATTAAATAATATAATAAATATACATAACAACAAAAATACAACCAGTGGTTTCTGCTCCTGTTGCTTTAACAAAGAGACAAATGTTTCAAATTATTATTGTTTGAACACACAAGAAATATTCAATTGGCGCGTAAGCAATGAGTGCTCTTGTTCTCTGCTAAATTTTCGGTTCCCGATAGTCAAATGTTATGCACCATTGGCAATCTCTTTTGTCACTCTGTGTTATTATATTTTTACCCAAAATAGAAAAATTTACCTTCAGTTCGGATTTAAAGGACGAGTATATAAGGTAAGAAAAGATTGCATTGTCGCGTCTGTCTACAATGTTAAAAGGCTTTAGAAGCAACCCAGAATATTTGTTTAGTACACGCTGAGGATTTCAAAGTTTTCCATCTGAACCGGTTAAACTTTGGCGGGCGCTTCGTAGCGGGCATACGTTCATCCGCTACACTTGCATTCCCATGAAAAGCAATTGGTTCCAGATCAAAGCAACAAACTCATTACAACTAAAAACAGACGTAATTTTCCCAGTTTAAACGAAGATAAGCCGCTATCCTATATTTTGAGCTGGACCCCGCCAAAGCTAAAAGCCTTTTTTTTGCTTGAAATCGATGGTCTACGTTTTTGTTGTCGGTTTTCATGTGGCTTCTGAAAATTTCGAATGAGATCTGCATGCGGTAAACCTAAAAATTCTCAATAAAGTTTAGACTTTCATGGCTCGACAATTAGAAGTAACTCAATAAGTTATATTTGGTACATCTGAGTTCTTGATACAGAACCTAACGGCCGTTTTAGAAAAAGAATGTCAATTGCCAATTGGGCAATCCAGATACGCTCCAATCTCTTTAAGACTTTTTGCACCGTTTGGACTTTTGGCCGTATTAAACCCTCGGCTTTTTAACACTTTTTTAACACATCAACCAATTTGATTCCGCTAAAATTTTTCACGTGCCACTTATTTCAACAACATGATAACGAGTTCAAGGTCGTTATTATTAGGAGATGTGATGTGGGTGGCTAGTGCGCGATTCGTGAAGTGCATCACTATAATAACGATAAATGTGCGCTCAAGTTGAAAAAATTAACTTGCATAGTTGGTTGAAAATCAAGCGTTGGAAGTAATTATCATGGAATATTATCACCACGCTGTTTCATAGGTCTGTTGGAGAAACTCCAGATAATCTCGGCAAGATCCGCTCCTTGATCGGCCTCGACGCTCTACTAAAAAGTCGATCTCTTGACGAAGCTTGTTCAGACAGTCAGGACAGCCTAGAACCTTAAGAAACCTACCAATATCGCTTTCTATCAAACCTTACAAATTATATTCTTGGCGCACGTGAAAATGCGTCCGCTATTGTTTAGATATAGTCTAACATATAAAAGGAGTTTATATGATCAGGTTTATCAAGCAATTAGTCTAATCGATGACTAACTTGAGGCCTTTGTCAGAATTCTAGTTGAAAGAGACAGCCATTAAAGTAGACTTGTTATTACTGTTATTATAATTACCACTATTCACAGGAGTAATGGTAGTGTTTGTAGCTCTAATGAACCGCTACTTTATTGATTACATGCTGCCTACCTGGTAGGCAAATGTTACCTGGCGGTCGGCATTTATTCATAATCATCTAAAACATAACCATCAAGCAACAAGCGTTTTCTCGTGCAGTCGTAAGCGTGCTGCAAATGAGAGCTAGGAGACAAACTTACATATTTAAACCTTCTTGCCTCTGCACTATAAGACTTTACCGTAGCGGCCCCCACGAAGCCCAAGTGGCTAGTGTATCGCTAAAAGTCGCTGTATTTAGCAAATACAAAAAAAGCTGATAGGCCTTTGCAGACTAGCTCGAGATTAGGCTATCAATAGTCCTGACCTTTGTTTCATACGTCTGAAGTGACGCCTTACGTACCGTTCAGGGTGTGCGGATCAATACAGAATACAGCCGCTAACAGCTTTACCTGCCGACGCCTCGGCGTCCTTTTAAGATGACACGCAACGTGACCGGACAAGTCCGAGTTAGTAAACTAGGCTCATTTACAGGGACCTTATGTAACCGTGCTAACTTAAACTTAGTTTGCATCTCCAAAGTTAGTATGTCAAAAAGTCGGTTCTTTTGATGCTATTTACAACACTAATATCGTAGGATGTTTGTTAGCGGGCAGCATGATCTGCGCAGCTGATGGGTATTTCTTCAAAGGCATTGTCGCAAGAATTTTAACCAACCAACATGTTGCCATGTTGGTCCAAATCTCAGCCTCGGCAAATACTACTAGATATTACTTATTGGGAAAATAGGGGATAAAGAAAAAATTAAGGAAAATAGACTATTTGGATTGAGGTTAATGATTACTTCTATAGCTGCCACGCCTTTTCATAGATATGTTGGAGAGACTCAGAATAGGTCCAGCAGGACCAACCTTGCCCATGGACCCAGGACCCATTCTTAATGGGGGCATGTCTTTGATGTTATATCTAAAGATGGGTGACTGCGAGGACTTGTTCACATATGATAGAAAACTAATAACACTCGTTAAAAAAAAAAAGACAGAAATTCTATGCAGTGTTTGGTTAGAAAAATTGATCACACTTAATGTGTATGATATACGGCTATTCTAAACACTCTAAGGCTATAGCAAAACCGTTATACTTCTGACATCTATCAATAACTGATAATTTAATTCTAACTGATATGACATTTTTTTTTGGCTATTGCATAGATCTATTTGTCTTCTCGAGTGTATGGTACGAATTACTACGACCGACTGAAACTTGGATGATAGATATAGGTTTCTGTGTTCTGTTATATCATACTACGTAAATTCCGTCAATAGTTTCAACGTCAGATATTTTTAATAGAATACAAAATCTCACCGATACTAAGAGGCCTTCTCTCAAATGCACCGGGTTGTACTATATAATTTGCCAATCTTTAATTTTGTAGCTTAGGTACCCTACTTTAAATCAAAACCAGTTAAATTGGACACGCTATGCGCACGCCCATGAAATATGAAAACACTGCATCGAAATATGGATCATTTCGCTAATCAATTAGGTACCTGTATACCTCCATTGTAGAGCTATGTTTTATGCATCTATACGTCGAAACTTTGTATATCCATTTCAAGTATAGAATGATCAAATTAACACCGGAGAAACTCATGCGTTATAACGAGCAACGAGCAATTATTACTAATGTTTTTTTTACGCTGGATGAATTCCACTAAAATTATAAACTTACTTGGTTTGCTCTATATCAATGACCTACGTTCCTATCAGATTCTACCTAGCTTCCACAAAATCCGAGAAAGATTTCTATGCAACAAACAAGCTCGTCCTCAATAGAACTTAAGACCAAATCGCTCGGAAGTTTATCAAAAATGGCTTAAAAATCCAATTTTAAATATTTTTGGCTTTTTCGTACAGGAATTAGAGAAGAGAGTTTCAATCGTCGACTGGGTCGTCCAACTATCAGCGTTTTGGAGGATTTCTGTGCGTTTTCTCACGTTTTGACCTTTTTGGCCATTTTTAACCCATTCATCTCCGGTGTCTTCGCTGTCCCGAGCCCTCGCCTCTGTGTGACTCTTTATGTGCTTTTGGAATCATTTGTAGGTAGCCTACCTGAGTGAGACTTTATCGAATTTACATTTGTTAATTGGCGCCCAGTTTTACTACTGAAATGTTTTGATAATGACTTCTGGCCTGTTTAGATTAAGTCTAGGATTGAGGCTATAGTCGCGATCAATGATGTTAGTCGTTGTATTGAACCAGCACTTGCCCTCGGGAATAACATGCTTAGCATATCAAAAAATGTCGTGAAAATACTTGTTTTTGTTTAGATATATCTCCTGAGCAAAATCTAAGTGAAAGTCGGGATTTAATCTGGTAAGCCGTATAGGTGTATACGGGCGGGAGATTTGTTATGATCACTTTTGCTTCATCTAAATTTTTCCCATCTTTAATCGTTGTCGCTGCTGCGCTAATGCGAAAGATGATACAGTTGGAGACAGCTGATAGTGTACCAGCGTGTCCTATTTAGATTGTCGTCTTGCCGGCGCCCCGTACGGCAGCGCAGTTGCTTGCGGAAGGAAACAGTCTGTGCAAGGATTGAAGAGATTGTCCAGATACACGGTGGGGCAACTAGCGACGAAAGAAGAGCGAAAGCTTCTGCACGCACGCTGTATGTATATGAATGAACCAACTGAAGAGGCTGTAAAATGTGCCCATCGGCATAGCAAAGGCCTGTAGACAGAAAAGAGAGACGCGAACACGACTGCTCTAACGACCCACAGCTAGTGAGTGGCTGTCGCTCCTGATGCCCCCAACTGACTTTTACTACCGTTGCTAGCGGCAGAAGGAAAAGGCTTAGCGGCTGTTCACTCTTGCGGACGCCCAAAGCGTGTACCACTACAGCACACCATAACGGAGATGCACAAAACTGGGTTAAACCTGTGCCTTGTTGTGCTTGCGATTTTCTAGACAATGACTATTTATACAACAACGATAATATCCTCTACGCCGGAGAAATAACGCAGAAAAGTGTTCAGAAGGACCAGTAGTCATCTTTAATGTGTAGTTCCTGCATGGTTCTGAAATTGACCTACAAAATACTACAGTTATGTTTATCGTATCAGACTAGAAGCACCGGCGCCTTGTACATTGTTATTATTGTAAAGCTGTTACCCTTAATCCTTTTTTGTTAAGGTAGGAAATTACATTGACGTGTACATGCATGCCTATAAC